CACCACTTTAAGTTCTTCTCCGGACTCCTCACGTTTAGGCCATTTCATACTTCTAGGTGATCTGAACACATCTGATAGATACCCACTATTTTTGAAAAAGTCAAGTTGCGGCCCATTGAAAGGATCAGTTTTCCCGACCCGAAAACTTGAACTTCCGCTTTTTATCGACAGCCCTTTCTTCCTCTTCTCCTCCTCTTGTCTTGTACTGAAAGACACGACGGCAAGGCAATGTCGGATATCTTTGATCATCTCTTCGGCAATCCGAAAACCGCAATGCTTCATTGATCTAACCATGACTGTGGAATCCTCAGAATCCTGTGCACGTAAATTTGTCTCACGACATCTACTGGCAACCTTTGTTTTGAGGTTGATGAGGTTGGGGACTGTGTTATGAGCATGTTGTTGGATGTAGAAAAGCCCCACTGACGGTTCATTTCCCACAAATCTAATCATGTCTGCTAAGCTGTTGGCTATCTCCACAAAACCATCACCTGTAGAGAATTCGTGCATCTTCTTGAAATACAAAGGCTCGTCATCACTGCTATTGGTATGCATATTTGATAGGGGGGAAAAGAGATCAGCAAAAGGATGTTCATGAGGACTATTGATATACATAGATGACTAGAAAAGATGAGGACTCTGTTTGGTAGCCCAGTGTTGGTTATTAGGTTAAGACTTGGGGTTACCAAGACTTAGACACTTATGGGTTGTTTACTTTTAATTTAATGGACGTAATAATGACAATGACGACTTAATCATTCAATTATATCATGTTAACTTACGACTTAATTAGAAACATGACTTAATCATTCAGTCAAAAAACTGACTTAATCATTAAGTTTGAGAATAACAGTCATTGCCATTAAGACGTCTATTAAGACATTTTTTGTCACTTTTTCAAATTGATTGTGGAATAGATTTATATTAACAAATGAAGTTTGTCATTGACATTATAATTTAATGAATAATACTAAATTGATTCTTTTACTCGATTCAAACTGTTTATTCCGCATACAGAATAAACGGTCTCATATAAAAATATTACTTAATCAAAAGGACTTACTAGAAAAAAAAAGTAAACAGCCCCTCTGTGTTCCATAATCTCATAGGAGAATAATCTAAGATCTTGCAAGTGAATTTGTGTTGGTGTGGGGCTGCGGGCTGACTTAACAAACTTGCAGGATGGTAATCAATCAATAAAAGCATGTGTTGCCTATCTGAGCTAATTACTTTGATATGGTCTCACAATAAAAGATAAATTGATAGGAGAAGTAATTAGTTTGTAATTTTATATTTGGTCAGTATGGGATGACTCAACATAATCTGCTTATTAGTTGATGACGTAGTTTTTGACTTGTTGGATAAAATGGATGTTACTAATTCATTCAGAAAACTCAGCAGTTCAGAGTTACGGCTTAAACATAAGTCTATTGGGGTTGAACAGTATTTTATTTTCCTCAACATTTTCCTTGAACTTTATCAAATATTTTCGTCCCTCTTTTCTTCCCCTAGCATTTTCCGCATTCCAAATGGACCTTAAGGAGAGGGGAGAGTGAATGAAACTTTCCATTCAACCCATAACATCACACCATATAGATAGCCAAGAGTATTTCACTTACTTGAACATAGATCATATGCACAATGGGGACTGTATGAAGTCACCAATAATAGTAGATGTACAGCCTGCAAATATTTTACAGCCACTCATTAGGGAGGTGCCACTCAATGCAACTCAATTGCTAAAATATACTCAAAATAAAGGCCTGTTTGGGAGAAATCAAGAACCACATATATAGGCCACACCAAAACACAACAAAAGCAGAGCAATAAATTCCCATTCCTTAAACATGAGAGTGACCAGTTTGGGAACTTCACAGGAAACCCACCTCAATTGCATCATCAATCAAGAAAAGGAAATGGCAGAAAGAACAAATTGACTTACAGATAAAAATAAAAACCCTTCTTTTTTCCTCAGACTCTGAGCTGATTTGGATATTTATGTGATTTCCCCCTCATTGTATAAATTCAGACTTTGGGCTGAGTTGTCTGCTGCTATACGGTGTGAATATTTTAATAGTGTTGGGTGGAACACATATGGATGAAATTGGGGTTAGTCAACGGCTCAACCACTAAAGGCATTTTGTTTTTCCAAGAGACCGAAATTAGACAATAATGGAGGAGGCACCGCCTCCGCCGGGGAAAATAGAGACAGCGATGGCCTTCCTTGCTGGTTAAGCTCCGGGATGCAAACGATTTTTGCCTTCCAAATCCAGCCGTCTATTCCGTGATCTCTATCCTGCTACCTACCTGCTCATTTTATTATCATTGTTATTCAGAAAAAGCTATTCCCATTGAATTAGATTCATGATAGCACACTACTGCAATGGACTGGATTGGGCATATTCCGAAATAGATTCATGATATTTATTTATATTTGTGGAATAGTGGAAACTATACATCACTAATTTATCATAAAGTTTTACACATTTTTAAAATCCTTAGAAATGACGAAAAATCCTTTAAAATTCTCTAGAAGGAAATCCAATTTCATACAGTAAACCAGCATCCCATAATGACAAAAAATGTACAATACACAAACAAAAAAATGATATACATGCAACATTCCAACCAAACATTCAAATCTTTGCAATTAGACAGTTTAAGTAAACAAATTAATGTGACTATATGAGTGGTATGCAAACTTAGATATTGCTTGTCTATTTGAATAGTTTAAGACTTTTCTTTGATTTTTTACATAGTCAAAATTTATATGTGATCAAATTCCATGAACAATGATTTTATGTGATTCACCGATTAATATGAGCCCATTTGGTGACCACTATGACCCTACATGCAACCACATGACTTTTGATTTGACAAGTTGAATTGTCTAATACTCCGTCTGTCCCCTTATAATTATCCCATTTTTTAAATTTGGATGTCCATATACTATTGTCTCGTCATATTTGGTAAGATTTGTGTGACTCTAATTCATTCTCCATTTTATCAACACATTATCAATCACATATTCGACTTTTCTTAAAAATCACATCACTCTCTTCCGTCCCAATATTAGGGAGGCGGAGAGAGAAATAAAATAAGTAAGGTTGAACTTACTTTTTGGTTGAGTTGTGCATTTTAATTATTTTTTCAACCAATTCAAGCGCGTCAACCAGCATTTCACCATTTTCAGCAGATTCAGCTGACTTGGCAAATTTCAGTTACCAAACGGGTTCTACACTTCTACATATATAAATGGGAAAAGTACGGAAAATGTACTTGTTGTTGGGCCCGTTTTCAGATAGGGTCATGTGTTTCATTCTTTATCAAAGTGGTTCATGTGTTTGAATTCCGTTATCACAAGAGGGTCACGCCGTTAAAAACGTCTGAAATATACCGTTAAAAGTAACTCTGATTTTCAAAAGTGCCCAGAAAACCTCGTCAAGATGACCTTCAAACCACCTCCGCATTTGGATTTTTTTCAGATCTGTTTGAATTATTTGTTAAAAATGATTTCGCTAATATCACTTTTCCGGCGGACTTTCCGGTGACAAGGGTGATTGAAAACAAAAAAGAAAGATGGCCTAGCGGTCGTCTTATTAAGATGCATCTTCCGGTATTTTTCTTTTAATTTTTTGGACAATTTTGAAAATCAGAGAGTTACTTTGCCTTTTTCAGACGTTTTTAACGGTGTGACCCTCTTGTGATAACGGAATTCAAACACATGAACCACTTTGATAAGGAATGAAACACATGACCCTATCTGAAAATGAGCTCAACCACAAATGTCTTTTCCATATTTTTCCCTATATAAATACCTATGCTTTTTATAATTAAATGTCCCTTTAAATAGATTAAAGGGTTCTTCTTAGCTGTTCATACACGTACTCCATACGAGTATTATTTAGACTAAAGGGTCCCTATAAGTTCATGCACTAATTTAAAAAGTGCAAATTGCTCCTTATATAGGAGTCTGTTCGACCATCGCCATTTGGGGCGGTTCCCGATGAAATTTTTTGATGGAATTTTTTGAGCATCTTCTTCATTAAGTCTAGTTTACGCATACCAAATTTTAGATAAAAATTCAACCGGGAAGACAGTCAAATGATTTTCGGAAATGTACTGCGTTGTTTAACTATACAGTTATCTTCAAAATTCATTTGGCCGCGTTACCGATTGAATATTTATCTTAAATTTGGTATGAGTAAACTAGACTTAATGAAGAAGATGCTAAAAAAAATTCATCAAAAAATTCCACCGGGTGATGCCCCAAATGACGGCGGCTGGACAGAACTTCCTATATAAGGGGTGATTTGCACTTTTTAATTTAGTTCGAGGGCCTATTTGACCATTTAGCCTATTATTTTTGTACTATAGCCTAGATGACAATTTGAACGGAATTAAATTGTTTGTGATACAGACAATTTTTTTTGTGTATGCGAAAAACGGTTCTTTTCACAAAATATCAATCAAATTGTTTGTGCAAAATGCATAGACAATTTGACCGGCGTGTAAAATGCAACTTGGTGTGTACAAATACATTTTCGAGGTGAAACACTACAGGTCTGTTTGCAACAGCTTCTGCTTTTAAAAAAAGTGCTTTTTTAATGAAATGCGGAGAAGTGATTAAATAAAAGTTGATAGTGTTTGAGAAAAAAGTGATTTTGAAAAGTAAAAGTGGGTAGTGTTTGGTAAAATAAGTGCTTTTTGTGTAATAGAAAAAATAAAAGCACTTTTGACGTGGAAGCCGAGAAACATAAAAGTTGTAATGTTTGGGAAAATAAGTGCTTTTTTAAAGCCAAAAGCTAAGAAATGCTTTTTTAAAGACAATTGCAAACCAACCCTACGTAAGTGTAACTAGTCAGCACCACCAATCCTTCCTTCATGACTACAACTGTCATAAAGAACGTCCATTTTCCTGTTGCTATCATTTTGCTATAGATTAAATGACACTAGCTAATTGTTATAGTTTAGAAATAATCTCAACTTTAGATATTATAAGTTGATACCCAAACAAATTCAATATATACCCATACCTAACATAATATAAGCATTATTTTTATAAGGATTTCAGATCATATATTTACATAAATAACTTCAATTGTCATTTTTACGAACTAAAACAATACCATCATCAAAAATAGTTTATACTTTATCTCAAACAATAATATTTAAATCAACTACTAGTTTTAAGCTATAGTATATGTTATAAGCTCCTAATTAGCTTATTTTGCCAAACATAGAATTAAAGCCGTATCTAGTCTTCTGCTTTACATAAATTGCAATCATCCAAAACAGCCAGCCAGGCAGACTTATAAAGGTTATCTCCTTGCAGACTACAAGAAACCAAACAAATGAATCATAGTTAGTTAAGTAGAGAGTAGAATTAATGGAAGGGGAATTCATTAAACTGATTATTACCAGCAACATTTCATGGTCTCCCATGATCTCCTTGATTAGCTCCTCCAGTGGCTTATCAGCTGCATTATGAACCACAGCTGCAAACACTGTTTTTTCTTCCCCTTCTGTTGTTATCAGAAGAAAAACTGTCAATCAACACTATATCAAAGTGAACTATTTAGGATCTCTATGTATTGGCAGTGTAAGAATACGGAACTGTCAATTTACAATTTTACACTACGTCATTTACCACTTTCTTGAAAGGCGTCAATAAACATCATCATCTCCTCCCCGCTAAGGCCAGACATGAAGCAAATCTTGGGAAGTGGCTTTGCGATCTGCGTGAGAAAACACAAAGTCTTACTGTGTTTTTAACCAAAATTACGGAGTATTTATTAAGATATGGTTTTACATCATAAAAGGTCAACCATATGGTTAGTTTCAGTCTTCAAATTCCCCTCGTGAATGAGCGGTTAGTACATTGTACATTTGTACATAACCGTAAAAAGTCTGACGTAATAGTGACTCATTAGAGCATAGCAGTTTTGAAATCCTTCTATTCCTTTCCAGTCTTAATTGGATAGGTTACTCATTTAAGCTTAATAACTAAAACTTATGATTTCATCTTAAAATGTCAAGTTGATACAAGGAGTACTAGGGGCTTTATATATGAGCTTGACATTTCAACACTATTGTCATCTCACTATTGAGATGTTCTCACACAAGTTTTTTGCACAAACAAATAAGTTAACACATTATGAGCTAATAGGTAGCAGCTAGAAGAGTTGATAAGTTCAATCCAAAGAAGGGACAAAGTATAGCCATAAAATTCTTGTGCTTGGCAAAGACATCGGCACTCATGCATTTCAAAACTTATCATCAAAATAGCCTGTATAGCTTGGAAAAGGAAATTCAAGATGGAGGGGTTAAAAAGGGAATATGTTGCTAAAATGATGTTAAGCCGGTTTAACCTTCAAAGCTTCCAAATCTGATTGTTTCGTATTCACTGCTTCCCAAAGCGAACTAGATATCATATCTTCAGTGCAGAATATGACCTGCAGTATGAACCCCTTAAATCAGCAAAAAAACAAAAAGAGAGAGAGAACTTTAAAAAAATGGTGGGAAAGCACAACCTCTAGGAATTCACCATCCAGTTCCTTCAAAAGTTGTTTTATCTGCATATGATATTAAGCATCAGTAAGTCTGGTTATGATATAAGGTTGGGAACAACTGTAAGTGTTTTACATCAAATCTTTGAATTCTCCACCGAAAGGAAGGTCCTCAAATAAACTATGATATACATTATGTTCTTAAGGCCTCAAGGTTCTCAAGTTCTCCATTTATTTATAGTGAACGTGCTCTCAAATCATTATGCACGGTTCACATATAGCATTGCTTTGAGAAAGAACTTAAGAGGAACATTTGGCAAATAATGTCCATAGCATTAGAACATTTACAACCACTTTTTTGTTAAGAAATGCAAGCTTTGATAAAATGAATATGATAATATTTCTAAGAAACAATTGAATAAAAGTGAAGATAGAACCATATTTTGTTTATAAGGTAAACTAAGTGATTAGACCATACTGAACACTTAGTATGGTGGTTGTTAAACCACCATACATCAGTCACTATAAAGATAAAACTCTTAAATAAGATTTTGAGCTACTATCCTATCATGTAGTTAATCTCTTAGAATAGAATCTTAAGTCTTGATATAATATCAAAGCCGGAAGCAAAAGCAATTCAATTCCAGTAAACATCAAAACGAACATATGACCTCAGATTTGGTATGTAGTAGAAACTCATGTCTTAATGCGTCTCTTGTTTATGATATGATATCATCAGAAAAACTGATGAAAAAGCCGAGAAAAACAACTGCGGCAACAAATAACCATTCCAAAAGTAGTGAGGATGATCTTTAATGCAATTGGAACCTGTAATTACCTTGACAGCATCCTCCAGTTCAAATCCCAACAACAACAAGGCCTGTGATAAAAGTTGATTGTGAGAATTAGTGGATGAGTAAATAACAGCAATAACTAATGAGATGTCCATCGATAGATAAAAGCAATGGTAAGCTGAGCCATATAATGGGTCTGTCATAGACGTGCACAAAACTGGGCCGGCCCGCCCAGCCCGCACAAATGGGCGGGCTGGGCATATATACTTACCCACCGGGCCGGACCGAGCCCGGCCCGCAATAACATATGGGCGGGCTTGGGTTAGGGTGTAGGCCCGTTCGGGCCGATAAGCCCGGCCCGCTATATTTAGTGTATATATACATACACACACTAATTTATTTATTTATTTACATGTACACATGTATATTTATACTCATTTACTAATATTATTTATCTTTATACATATTTATAGTTTATTATGTTTAAATTTAAGTTTTTAGTTCTTAACAACTACCCCAACTAATATAGTATCTATTTTTGTACTTAAAGATGATACTTAAAGATGATACTTAAAGATGATACTTAAATTTAAGCACAAAATAACATACTTGTAACCTTTTCTATCTGTCCTGTCTTTGTTGAGACTTGAGATCAATCTGATACAGTTTCTAGGAAACACTTGAATAGAAGTAAAGAAAGAATCATACTGTGTGTAACATATGAGATCAATTTGATACTTTCTAGGAAACACTTATACGGAGTATAAAAGTTAAGAATCATATTGTGTGTATGGGTAAATAGAGAAAGTGATCAAAACTTACAGGTGGGCCAAATCTTGGATCTTCGGCATTTAAAGGAACAAACTTGGAATCTTCAATCAAATCTGTGGGAAAGCCTTTCAAATGGAATAGGGAAGAAGAGCATCATAAGCCAAAAGCATTAGTGCGGTGAAGACCATAAACAAACATTCAGAAAGTAGCAAACGGCCACGAATGAAGTAATATAATGAACTGAAGTATAACTAACCCCATATATTAGTATATTACTGTAGTTCATTACCAATATCAAGATTCAAGAACCGGGTTACTTAAGAATAATGGGGGAAGTAATAAGAGGAAGAAGAAAAAATGACCTTGTTCTGAACTGGATTCTCGGCTAAAGCTATTGTCCTCGACCTTCAGAGATTGGATATTTTTGGTTGGCGAGATTCTAGGAAAATGCGAATTAGTGTAAGTGCTTGACAAAAAGACTCCATTTTTACTGTGTTTTAATCTCAAGCATGAGTTCGCGCAGCTTAAGCTGAACAATACTGCGAAAGCCATGAAAACACTCTCCTTCACATACCTGAGCCACTTTATCCACCAAGATAAATTGGTGTCAATTTATAACAAAAAAAAAAAATTCTGAGTGAAATTTGTACACATTTCACTCATATGTATGTAATTGTTTATGCAAAACTATTTAGAGCCCGTTTGGTAGCACCAAAATCGGCTGTTTTGGCTGATTCTGCTGAAATTTTTGATATTCTGGCTGGAGTGGCTGTTTTGGCTGATTCTGCTGATTTAAGAAAAAAATATTTTAAAAATATATTTTATTAATAAATTAAAGAAAAAATTATATGTAAAAATAGCTAAAATGGTCCTCTACAGTAACTTCAGCCAATACAGCCAGAAAAGTAACTCCAACCTTACTTTTTCGGCTTATTACACAATTTAGCGCGCGAAAGTAAAAGTTACGTGTTTGGTGAAAAAACTGGCTGGTAAGCCTGATAAGCCGAAAACAGAGTTCTCCAAACGGGCTCTTAGTTTGATAATCATGATGACGACTTCTTTATCTTGAATAGATAGAAGAAGACATAGTTCATTCGTTTTTTTATAAGATTCGAGTATTATCCTAGGAAAATTATCTACTTTATATTTATATTGTATAGTAGATCGGTTTGACTTTGGTACGATGTTAACTTTTCTAAAATATTTCAATACCGTTCAATAATACTTCCCCCTTGAATGTTCATGTTCTAATTATTCATGATTATGAATTGACTCGTCAAAAACCTCAATATGATAAAAGTCACTATTGAGGAAAAAAACTTTTAATCTCATATCATTATGATGCACTGGCTCATTAACAACTTTATCACGGTAAAATTGAAGCAAGGAAAAAGGAGTACAATGGTTATAAATTTATAATTCTTCCCTCAATTTAGCATAGATCTCGAAGATTGACACATGCCAATCTAGTGTACAAGTTCAACTTTCTTCGAGTGGAGTGACTAGTGATTGTGTGCATCATCATTTGATATGAGCTACACATGATGTGTTGTCTTCATAAATCACAATAGGATTACATGCAAATATTTTAATATTGCGCGCATTCATTTGTATGTGCTAGATCTTTGAGTTCAACCAAACATATTATCGGCCTGCTCCATAAAGAGAAATCATTTCTACAAGGTTTGATGATGCGGAAGTTGATGCTTGCTTCATTGGGTTTTTCATAAGATATAGTGGTATCAACATATGTGAATAAATATCTTGCTTGTGATTTTGTCTTTTGCGGATCAGAAAAGTAGCATGAATCGACGTAGTCAATTAATGTGGCATTTACATCACTCTTGTAATATTACCAAGATCAGTTGTACCACTGACATGACGAAAATATATTTGACGCCATTCTAATGTCTTATTGTTGGGGGAGAGATATATTTCGCTAGTAAATTATAGAAAAATAAAAATCTAGAATGGCACTATTATTTTTTTAAATAGCCGTTGGGTTCGAGTCGAGCCCAAAACATCAAGCCCGAAGCCCGCCCCTTATAACCACCAGTTCGGATACCAGGCCAGTACCAACAGTACCAATCCCGGGTTGGTCCCAGGCCGAGCCTCCCGGGCCCAATCCATCCCCATATATAATTACTTCTTCGATATTATCTCTCAAGATTTTGAGCTATAAGCCCTAGGTAACTTTGGCCAAAAAATTTAGCATTAGTTTAATCCTTACCATTTTCTACCATTTTAAAACAAAATGATATCGAATGGTTCCAAATCTAGAACCAAGTACCAGATCATTAGAAACTTCACGGGTACATAAGTCTAGAACCAAATCGTACCAGATCATTAGAAACTTCACGAGTACATTAACTTGATGTCTTGATTGTTCAATTATGCACCCAACCCTAAAAATAGATGGACCAATTAAAAATCTTAATATAGTTGCATCAACTACGGGAGAATAAGTCACAACCATTATCGCTAATTGAAAAAACATTGGCCAATAAGTTAGACTTTATATCTTATGATTTTTTTTATTTAAAAATATTAGACAAAAAACTGCCTTTGAGTGTAATAATTCCTAGAAATATGAATAGCAGAATAGGTAAATGGCTAGATGTTCTAGCATACTCAGTGGCACAACTTGCTGTCTTTCTCTCTAGTTCTATAGGGACTAGGGCAATAATTTAACCACACAATAGTCACAATTCACAAATAGCGGGATATGAATCCACCTTTAAAAAAAAACAAAAAACAAAAACTAAAAGATGATTCACATAGCTTTGAAACCGAGTACTGTGCGTCTGTGCCCAAATTCCGATACAGAATCCTACCCAGTTCAACACTGGTTCAATTGTTTCTACTTCGGCCCCCTACACCATTTGGCCCTGAACCGAACCAAAATGCACACGGAAGAGTCAGGGAACACAAGAGCTTACATGAAAACAGCAGCCATGCAGACCTGGTTACTACACTATTTGCATCGACAACAGCTTGAATAGAAAAGTTCATACAGCCGTGTCTCAGTTTTAGGAGTTCAGTGGTGAAACAAAGATGGGGATGGGGGGTTACATATTTGCAGATGTAAAACAGTACAACACTTGAAGAAAGTAGCTCAGATTGAGGAGACTAAGCTTTCACGATTGGTCACAATACTCTCAGAGAGAGTGCCAGCCATCCACCTCTTCAGCATCTCCAATGCAGCTTTCGGCTGATCCATTGGAACCATGTGTCCAGCGTCATGCACCTGGTTCAAAATACACACAACAACTTGTTAAACCTCCAATTCTCAATGCTAAAGCCATTTTAAACAAACAAAAGAGGACCGACCTTGAGGAAACTGAGAGGCCCATGGCGTTTTAGTATCCCTGCTTCTGAGCCATCAACCTCAAATGGTACTTCTGAGGACGCTACAAACTCCTTCTGCCCCGCCCATTCCATAGCATTGACCCATCTTGAATTACCTGATCATTGAATTTCACTTTTGTTTACTCTCAGATTCATAGCTTTAATCTTAAATTCCTAAATGGATGTCCACGGCATATAAGTTACACAAACCAAGAAACATAGTTAACTCTCTTCAGTTCTTAAATAATAGAGCTATGATATTCCAATTTTTATCCCTTATTATGCATAATAAATAAATATCTTTTAGAGAATAAGCATGATCAAAATATTAACTAGGGCACACACTGAAAAACATTGCCTAATAAAAGGACCATTGAGCATTGACCCCTCTTCGAAAAGTGCTTTATGCCTTATGAATTGATTCCCTAGATAACGTGTCTCCCGGGTCATGGAATGATAAAATTCCAATTTATATATATATTGATATTTCAACAATTTAACCAATAAAGAATCAAACTCACCAAGCCAGTTGCAAATGAGGTCATACTCTCCTGCATACACGAGCATATGTATCCCATCCTCTAGCAATGTAGGGATGCCCACTTCAAGATCTCTCATCCAGTCAACAAGCATGGCCTTGTACACTGAAGTGCTACAAGATACAAACTCTATATCGCCAACCCCAAGAGCTTCCTTAACGGACTTCTGGGTCAGCAGTTTCTCCATGTTTGAGAAGTCATAACAGAGACTTCCCTCACACTTCTTCCTGATGTCGTAGTACTGCATGAAAATTGCAAAAAACATCAGTTCCACAACAGGACTTCAAAGTTAGATCCTCAAAAGTGATGCCACCAGATCAAAAACTTCTTATTCAGTTGGTGTCAGAAATTGAAGGTTGAGCCTGGGAGACATTTCACAGATGTCAGAAATTTAAACTCGAGCCTTTGAAACATTTCATAGATTCTGATATGATATTCAACTTCATTAGGCAAAGTTTAGATGATAGACAGTACTTCATTCTATACATATCATGTCAATATTTATAGCATTCTCTGATAATTGTAAGCTTAATTTGGTGTCCAATTCTGCATTATTCTACTGATCAAAAAATAATAATCAGGATAAATAGCATAAGGCCCATCTGGTAAGTGCTATACGGCTAAAATGGCCGAGATGAGGATTTTTCTGAAAGAAAAGGTGTTCGCAAAATTGATTTCATCCAAATAGCAAGTCAATAGCTACTCCCTGGTTCCTACTTACTCTCCTTATAAGCAAAAAAATATGTGGATCAGTGCCACCAAATGGGGCATTAGTAGATTTTGAATATTCTTCTGAAGTAGATGTTAATCAACACTTTTACTACAACAAATTAAGCAGATTTAGCCATTTCATTTTAGCCCTAAGCCATATAATCCTTTCCCCATGGGCTCATAGTTATATACTGTCACCACTGTTCCATGAATATGCAACATCCAATAAAACTTCAATGTAGTAATAGAAAGACATAATAAGTTCCTTACATTGATATCACCAGCTTTTACAAGGATTGCATCAAAAACAGCATTGCAAACATAGTAGGCAGCTACACAAGAGGCTGTACCCTGAGTTCCTGAATTAGATCAATCAACAAAACAAGTAAGAGCATTCATGGTGAAAAGTAGCTTGGAACTTAGTGAAAAAGTAAACTTGAATGGGGAAAAGGGAGAAAAAAAGTAATCAGTAAGATAATAGCATTTTTACCACATAGCTTTATCGCGGCCTCACAGAGTGGAAGCACCTTGACCAAGGTTTTATGATAAGACTCAGTAATTATGCCCATGTCCAATGCATAATCAGGATAAGCATTGTACTGGATTGCTGGATCAGTAAGCCCATTACCTATGGCAAATCCCTGAAGAGTACTACAGTCATTTATAGTTAAACAAATCAGTTGGTTAAGAAAAGTTGCAATAAAAGTTTTGGAGTTTTGATACCTTAAGATTTATGTGAACTCCTTCATTGGCTTGGTTTCCTTTGTGGACTCTTGCAGCAAAAGCAGGTATGTAATGCCCAGCATATGATTCTCCAGTGATGTAGAAGTCATTCTTGGCATACTCAGGATGCTCGGTAAAGAAAGCCTGGAACACTAATACTAGTCATATGCACAATAAGTCAAAATAACCTAATAGTACCTTTGTACCCCTTTATCCTTATACTTTCCTTTTTAAATCTGTCTTCATAGTTCATATAATCTTCTTTTCCCTTTTAAGCAAATATATGGGTATATTCTTCCATTCCTTTCTAAATAAAACTCAACGACAGTCGACAGTTATTATTTTCTAAAACTCTAAGCCAAGTCAAACCACAAATATAGAATGTGGACAGGATTACATAGTAATTGATTTATTTCATGGCATTAAATTAGAGGTTAAAAATTTTCAGAAACTCACATAGATCTTTAAGAAATTAAAAACCAACCTGCAAAAAGTCATATAAGTCATTGCTAACACCATCTTCACTGTGGCGGATATCGCGACTGTCAGAGCTGTAACTGAAGCCAGTTCCAGTAGGTTGATCTACATACAAAAGGTTTGAGACCTGGAGAATAAAGTTGCGAGGAACTTGGCCTTATTAAAAGCGGTCTCTTTTCAGGGATAATAAAGTAAAATACAATTAACTCTTAGAAGTTAAAGAAAACATATTATGTCGCATGTATACATTCACCACTAAAATCCATTGTCAACTTCAAAGCAAAAATTAAGACCGAATGTATCAAGCATAAAGTATTTAGGAAGTGGGGTGCACATAATTTTGAAAGGAGCCATATTACCTTATCCCAGCCATAATCATTCCATATAAGTGACAAGTTATTTGCAATTTTGAAAGGCCCATTCTCATAGAAAAGTGCCAACTCACTGCTGCATCCTGGCCCTCCAGTTAACCAGATAACAACAGGGTCATTCTTGCTTTGACGTGATTCAAAGAAAAAGTAGAACATGCTACACGCATGAAAAAACTGCACTCAGTATTTCAGTTGTATTCGGAAAATGAAAGATTTAACACAAATTTGACCCTATGGAAATATTACAGCTAACAACAAATACTGGATTCAGAAAAAATAAACTTTAGATTATTAGGTGCAGTAAAAGCTATTCCATGTTTGGAGATAAATTAGCAGTAGAAAATGCATCAAAAGAAATTTTTGTAAGGACTTTTTGGAGAAGAAAATGAGTATGGGTATAAATAAGTGAATTTTTAATTTAAAGCTACCAAAATTGAACAAGGATAATTTTGAAGTGTTTACTTAGCGGCATATGAGTTCTCGATCTTATAGTAGCCGGCATGATGACCTAAATCCTCAATTGAAACGCTAGAGTCTGCAAGGTTGGGAAAAGTGAACCGCTTCTCAACAATCCTCGGATTCCGAGAGGCTGCGGACGGAGAGATCCGATCGACGATGTTGATAGACTCATTAGGGAACAGGTTCAGCTCTCTGATCAGCTTCTCGGCTAACGACGAACGTAAACTGGAACTAAGAGCAATGTGATTTTTAGCGAAGCAAAATGAAGGCAAAAGAACAACGACCCAGATGAGAGACGCGAGAAGGGAATATCTGGAGGGTTTCATTTTGATAGGAAACTTCAGAACTGTGAAGCCGTGAAGGTTGAGGCCAAATCCAAATGTTGAGTTTGTAATTGGAGTAGCAAGAAAGGCGGTTGAGAGTGAAATTGGATCACTCTCCAGTAAAGTACTTCCAAGTAGGTAAGAGCTTCTCGGGTTGAGCTCACTGGATCGTCTCGACAAAGGAATTGGAGTAGGTTTGGTAAGAGCATCTAAAATGTGATAAAATGTGCACGGTGCACACGTGGCATGAGAAATGACCACATAAATATTAGTAATAAATTCTTTCTCTCCTTATTTGAATGATTTTATACAGTTTTGGTAAGTTTTTCTCCACAATGTCAAGAAGACCGTCTATATGTTGACATTGTTGTTGACATTGCAGGGAAAAACTTACCAAAATTGTATAAAATCATTCAAATAAGGAGAGAGATAATTTATATGCTAATATTTATGTGGTTATCACTCATGCCACATGTGCACCGTGCACATTATAGCATTGGAAATGCTCTAAGGCAAATAGTCTGTCATGTCCCTATTAAAGTTCAACTTTATACTTAGTACATATTAAGAAAATAAATTTAACTTTATTGTGTAGTGTACTGTTTGGCATTGTTTGAACATCGATTGGCATTGTTTGGCACTGTTTGAACATTGTTTGACGTTGTTTGACACTGTTTTGTTTCCTTAAATGGAAGTGTGAACTTAAATAAGGGACATCCCGAAAAGGAAAGTGACAGCTTTAATAGGGACCGAAGGTAGTAGAAGTAGAATCTACTAAACTTGTGTAATTATTGAAAGGCTTGATTATTAAAAAAATAAAAAAGGTGAACAAAGAAAAATGATTATGCGTGGTTGGTATTAAATTAATAAAATAAAGATAAAAAACCAATTACAACCACGCACACAAACATTAAGGGCATGTTTACTAACAGAGATATTTTCCTGTTTTCTACTTCTGTTTTTCGTTCTCCAATTTTCTGTTTTTATTTTTCAGTTTTTCTATCTCCAATTTTCTGTTTTTATTTTTCAGTTTTTCTATCTCCAATTTTCTGTTTCTATTTTTTAGTTTTCCATTTTCAAATCTGAAAACATGTTCATCAATTTTTTCACCCAGTTCTCCAATTCCACACCCTTGACACGATCTTACAATCTACCCATACTCCCCCACAACCCTTCATACCCACCCATACCTACTCGTAGGGGTCGGGGTAGGGAAGTTATGGGTGGGGGTGGGTAAGGGGTATGGCCGGGGTGGGGTGGTAAGGTCTAGGGGTAGGGGGTTGGGTGGGGATAGTGGGTGGGTTAGGGTCGTGGTTAGGGGTAAGGGTGGGGTAGTGGGTAGGGTTTGGGGTAAGGTAGAGGTATGGTATGGAGTTGGAATAGGATGGCGGTAGGGTGGGGTCGGGACTACGGTGGGGCTGAGGTAGGGAAGGGGTAGGCGGGTAGGGGGGTAGGATGGCGATAGGGTGGGCCCGGGAACTGGGTGGGGCCGAGGTAGGGGAAGGGTAGGGTGGGGGGTAGGATGGTGGTCGGATGGCGGAAGTGTGGGGGTAGGATGGCGGTGGGGACGAGGTAGGGGCATGTGGTAAGGGGTAATATACGGGTGGGGGTAGGGTGGGTCGGGGTGGGGTCGAGGTGGTAGGGGGTGGCGGTAGGGTAGGGTGGATCGGGGTGGGGTAGGGTCATTATAGGGAAAAATGGGTATGCGGGATGGGGTTGGGTGGGTAGGGTAGGGTAGGGTAAGGGGTAAGGTACGAGGATGGAGGTACCGGAATGTAATCGACATCGGAGCGGGACCGGACCCACCACTAGGTGTAAGTATGCATATTCATTGCAGCGGCACTGTAGCATCTGCGTTTTCCAAATTTGGAAAACTAGTAAAAGTCACTTCTCCAAATCATTAAGAAAAAGAGAGACATGTCTCATTTTTTTCGTTTTGGAAAACGATTTGGTAAACGCGTTTTTCTTTTTTCCTTTCTCCAGTTTTCCAAGAATTTCTTTGGTAAACACGTTTCCTGTTTTCTGTTTTCCAGTTTTCCAGTTTTCTGAAAAATTGGAAAATATCTCTGTTAGTAAACAGACCCTAACAATTTCAATGTTCTCTCCGTCATCCATGTTACAAAGTCTGTTTTCTAATATATTTTGGTAATGTTTGGGTGGTCACAAATTATTCTTGTTTTATTTAACACTTTGTCAACTTAATATTAATCGAATAAATTCACTTTTTTTAATACCTAAACCACTCCTCTATCTTGTTCCAATAATAGGGGAACGAAGGTAGTATGAGATAATTTTTAATGAAACATATTAAAAAGAAAAATAAGACATTACTTGTGGGAGGGAATCTATTGTAATATAATAGCAAATGGATTTTGCTACAGTGTTCCCGTCTATTTCCCTGAATGACCACACTGAAATACCATGTGCCCTATTGTACTGGATTGTTAGTTGTTTAAATGATTGAATTAATTCCCCTGAGTCCTATTCCCAAGAGCACGTTTCTGCATTTCCTTTATTAATTCCCTGGAGTAGTATTCCCATGATCTTCCGTATTCCAGCACATTATTAGTTTATTTATTAATTTTACTTTTTGAATAAAGTATCATTCGAACACTTCTGCCTATACTGTTCCTTATAGTACTTTTTATGTAATTTAATTATCTGCACTAAGGCTCTTCCGTATTCCCATGACACAGCATGACAACTTCCAAAGACATTAAATAATTTAAATGATTACATGAAAACTATTATTTCAATCACTCTGGATCACTATATATATACATGCCCAGCAACATTGCTGGCATCGTGCTTCTAACACTTCAATATAATTGTGCTGCATCATATCTTTGTTAATCCTTAGCTTCTGGCTTACCAAAATGGTAGGAATTTGGAGCATGATCAGGGACGTTGATCAATCAAAAACGTCTTGGGCAGTAAAAGTTCGTGCCGTACGCGTTTACAACGTCACCAACACCAAACTGCCGCCAAGCATCGAGTGTATTTTATGTGATGAAGAAGTGAGCAAGCATTCATTCAGTTCATAATAATGAAGATAATAAAATGATATGCATGAAATTTTTAACATACAACTTTATATTATTTTAGTTGTTTATATTTTGTTGTTCTGCTATTTGTTCAACTATTTTTTTTATATATTTGGTTTTTCATACTCAATGTTAATCTTCATCAATGTTAATCTTCATCAATGTTAAACCACTAATATTAAATACTTTGTTCAAATTCTTTATGATTAAGTTAACGGCTTTATGATTATTTTGTACCAGGGATCAAGGGTTCATGCACCCATAAAAAATACCAAATGCAGCTTTTCAGGGATACTTTTAAGGAGGGTGTGGCATATGCCATACGAAATTTCATGGTTCAAGAGAACTACATGCCATTTCGCACTACTAGAAGCATTTACAAATGGCAGTTTATCAACAAAACTGAGGCATTTGAACTACACAGAGAGAACATACCTCATTCCATTTTTACTTTTACCTCCTTTGCAGTTCTGCAAGGACAGGATATTGTTGATGAAAATGAAGCACATGGTTTGTTTTTTGGTTTTTTATAACTTATATATGCGGTGTTTACATTTTGAATTCTTAGACTAAAATCTTTTGTTTAAAAATTACCAAAGATGTTATCGGAAGGGTTAGCGGCAATGGATTGATGAAAACAGTAAAAAATGGCACTACAAAACTGCTGGAAATACCGCTTGCAGATGAGCAGTAAGTAACATTTTATGACATGCAAGTTTACTGCATTCTTGCATTTCATTATTCACATTCAATCTTTATTTTTATTTTTGCAGAAATAATATAATAACATGCAGTCTCTTTGGGGAAATGATTAATCAGTATGAAGCTTTCAGGAAGAGTTCCATTCACCCTACGATACTGGTGCTGCAATGCTTTCGAGCCAGAAAATACCTAGGTTACATGTTTTATCTATTCATAATACGTATAGATATAAATTTGTTTTGACAATGTTATCAAATTGATGGTTAATTCTAAATAAACAGGTGGGATTTATGTGTCTAATGTGCATCATGTTAGCAAACTCATAGTTAATGGAGACCATCAACAAGTAATGGAATTCCGGGAAAGGTATGTTGTGCATCGTAAGAAACAAATATATATATACCCAAGTTACACAAATTATACACACACAAATATATACATGTGTGTGTACTTTGAAAAGTTATATTTTAAAAAAGTTGAAAAACATTACTTTCAAATGTTTTATACAACACTATACACGTTCACACAAGAATATGTATTTCGAATACTATATTTATTCAAAAATTATAATGTTTTTAAGATAAACAGTTTTATGACGTTTTGGTTGTAAACCATTTTTAGAGATTTTAGATGTTTACCTTTTCCACATTCAATTTTGATCCTGTAACTGAAAGCATTTTTTTCTGTGGCTAGTTCCTGCAAAACAACTTAAATGTCATTGAAATGGACATTTTGTTAATTGTTTAAAATGTAGCATTATAAAATGAATGAACATAGCCAGTTCGTTTGTTTAGTACATGGAATGAAATAACTTTGTCATGTAATTGTTTAAAAGAGCGATGTTCATATAATTTTATATCCCCAGACTTCATAAAACACTATGTAAACCAGTGCTAAAGTTAATTCCCTTAACTATGGCAGGGACTAAGTAAACCAGTGCTAAAAGTTATATCTCCTGACTTCATATACACTATGTAAAACACTACTAAATGTGATAACTTGAATGTGTTCAAGTTTAATCTTCCAGAAAATAAATTCCTTAGAATCAGTTAAATGGATATCAAACTAATAGTTGAAATGGAATTCATTTTTTCATTGTTCCTTAACAGGTTACCCCCCCCCCTCCCGGTCAAGAAGTTATTGGTACTCCAACTATCACATACTCATCACAATCCAGTGCTAATGACATCAGTAATGGCAATGTCAGACTGGAAAGCATTGAAGACTTGCTCAAAATTGAAGAGGTATTATAAATAAATAAAATACACTATTCTATCAAATTAATACTAACTGTTAAATTTGTATTTAGGATGGTAGGTACTGGACATTGGTAGAAATAGTTGCCTTTGACAGCTATAAAGAGTGGAGTTACATATCGTGCAAAAGCTGTAGTCGCAAGGTTAAACCAAGGGGTGATGGTTTCTATTGTAGTGATTGTGATTCTACTGAATTCGTTCTTAGGTACAATTTTTTTGCACAAAAT